CGGAGATGCTTAGCAATTCCCTTAGACTTTGGCTAAGGTCTTTAGAGCTGCCCGCCCCACACAAGAAGGGGTCTGTTTTACTTGGCTCCTTTAACACTTTGGAATAGTCATGGGCCAGTAATGAAGTTAGTGACATCCTTGGCCAAATGATTCATACCTTCATGGGAAGAAGGATAATAGCTCTCTGTGAAATAAGGGTACCTGACTACCTTGAGGTCTACCTCCTCCACAGTCAAGCCACATTCCTCTCAATAGTTCCCCCCCCCCGTAACTTTTATAGGGCAGACAGTCTTCAGCTTGCCAAATGCTTATGGAATGCAACTCCCATGAATCCTAGCCAGCATAACAACCTCTAGATGCCACACTTTGTCCACCTCTGCTTTGTATCTGGGATCTATCTCTTCCATTCATGTTGATCATGGTTATCCTGGAGGTCAGCTCCAGCCCATACATTATTTCACAAAGTTATTCTCCCAAAGGCGAATTGCCATAATCTGCAGCTGGACTTCTGATGCAGTCCATTCAAGGCAGAGGATCAGGACCTCTTATCTATGCCCTCTCCCTTATTCAATGGGCTGGGGGATGTCAAGACAGGCAACTAAACCTGTTGTCACTGCTTAGCTCTCTGCTCAGGAAAATACATCATTGTTACTGCATTAGGGTCAGCATTCACAGTGGTACCTCCAGATGTACAGCCCTTCTCCCAATCCTCTCTTGCAGCTTGTTTTTCTCTTCATTTCTTACATAGCTGCTATAGAAGCCTGAGTGCCACCTTCCTATCTTTCCAGCTTCCTTCCCTGCTTATTTTACAGTGGATAGGACCTCGCCCTTCTTCTGGGTGCTGCAACTTTGCTTTGCTTTCTGATGACAAATGCATCAATGGTGGCGGTGGGGAGCTTGTTCTCTATACCTGCACTAAATTACATTCTCTTAGGCAGAATATATCCTGCAGCTGCTCTCCTGCCCACCCCTCACTCTAAACTAGAAAACATCAATTAGCTCTGGACTTGTTTCCACATACTTATTATCTTCACAACATTCCCTCTTCTCCAACTTTTATTTCTAAGTTATTTACTTTGGTTCTGAATCACAGGAACATTTTTAAAAATTGCTTGTCTACAGTATTCATCCTCCAGCCCTACTTTTTTTCCTCTAGCATTTCTCAACTGTCCGCTAAACTTTTACTTACTTTTTTTTACTTTTATTGGATTTTTAACCCCGCCCCCCCCGGACAGAGTCTACTCGGGGCAGCTTACATACATAATAAAAACATAGCAGAAACAACATCCTAAGAACATTTAAAACTTCAAATGTTTAACAATTATATAAATCCTTGCCAAGATGGAGTGCTTAAAAAGAAAAAGTAAGGATCAGATTAATTGACTGGAGGGAAGGCCTGCCTGAAAAGCCAAGTTTTTAAATGGCTTTTAAAAACACCCAGCAAGGGTGCCAGACGAATTTCTGTCAGGAGGCTGTTCTAGAGCCGACGGGCCACTGCTGAGAAGGCCCAGTTTCTTGTTCTTTCTTTCTGGGCCTCTCTCAGTGTTAGGCACCTCAGCTGTCCCTGCTGGCTATGTCGGGTGATTCGGGTAGAACTACGTGGGAGAAGACACTCTGCCAAGTAATGAGGTCCCAAACCATTGCAACATTAGAAAACCACAATATAGAGTGGAGTTGGAAGGTCTCAGGGTGCTGGCTGAACTCTCAGGGAATTGCACTTCTCCAGGCAGTGAGATAAATGTCAGGGTAAACAACACTAGGGCATGTTCTGGACACCACACTTCAAAGGGATGGCGACAAATTGGAACAAGTTCACAGGAGGGCAACAAGGATGATCAGGGGCCTGGAAACCAAGTCTTATGAGGAAAGAGTGAAAGCACTGGGCATGTTTAGCCTTGAGAAAAGAAGACTGAGGGGAGATACGATAGGCCTTTTCAAAGACTTGAAAGGCTGTCATTGAGAGGAGCGGCAAGATCAGTTCTCGATCATCCCAGAGTGCAGGACATGCAAGCAATGGGCTCAAGTGAAAGGAAGCCAGATTTCAGTTGAATAAAAGAAAAAGCTTCCTAACTGCTAGGGCAGTTAGCAGTGGAATCAGTTACCTTGAGAGGTGGTGGAGGCATTCAAGAAAAACTTAGACAACCACCTGGCAGATATCTTATTTAAAATATTTTTTACACCTTTCTCATTACATCATTAAAAGACAAGATAAAGTTAACATCAGTGAATATACAAATACTAAAATGGATCAAACATATGTCATACTAAAAAAAAACCCAGAAGCAACGCCAAAACACATTCAAAGCAGTAAGGCACAACAATCCATTAAAAATCCCCACTCAGGCAGCCCATCACTCAGGGAAAGTTTGCCTGAAGAGAAAGGTCTGAGATATTCTTGGGGGCAGATCTCTTCCCCACTCCCAACTGCCCCGGTGTTTGCCTGTGTGTCACACAAAAACTATTTCTTTAGGACAGTGGTTGGAGAACACGGGTAAATTACCCCAAATGGGGTAGAAGTGAAAATCCTGGGGGCAATGAGCAGAGTGCTACCCCCTCCCTCTGCAGCCAAACCTCAAATTGTAAGCTACCTCTCCCTGTTACTTCCTTGGTTGCAGCAGGGCACTTGTAAATCCTCCGTTCTTTCAGAGATCGGAGATAAGCCTGCTTGATTGGTTACAGCTGTGGATTAGCCCCAGGCAATCAATCAATCCGGGGCTTCTGAATGACTGTTTCTGCTCGAGCTGACTGCAAGCAAACAGGAGGAGGGAAAGGATCAAGTTAACAAGGGAAGGAGGGAAGGAAGGTGCAAGAGCCTGAGGGCTTCATCAACCTTATTTAAATATATGTAGAAAATGTATGTAGGAATAGAGGGGGGGAGGGTCGGTGGATGGATGTGTATGTGTGTGTGAGAGAGTGAGTGAGTGAGTGAGAGAGTGAGTGAGTGAGAGAGAGAGAGAGAGAGAGAGAGAGAGAGCTTAGGTCCTATTCATAATACTACACTGAAATCCATCACAAGAGAGTCTAGTCATGCATAGTATTTTCATACACAGAAGCATGTCATTGCTGCAATTCTAAAGTGTAATACAAAATGAGACCTGCATCTGCCTTAAAGGAGAAAAACTCCAGAGCACACCTACTCTACTGAAAATGAAAATGAGAATAGCATTGCTAATACCCTGCCATTACTCTGCCAAAATGTGTTGACTACCAATAATGTGAAAAGGAATTTATCTGGCTAATCTGAGCCTTCCCAGGGGCTCCATGATTGGGGTTTTTCCATGATTTTTCACTGGTCCCTGAGCTGTCAATCTCCTTTTGCTTTAAGCTTCCTGATTCTTATAAAACATTATTTTTCTTTTCAGAATGAGACTCATGGGAAACAATTATTTGTTTGTTTGTGGTCCACATACTGCTGAAGCCTACCTTGTAGGATTTTGAGCATAACCTTGTTAGTGTGTGATTGGGATGTAGATTGATCTTTTCCAATCCTCTGGCCACTGTTGAGTTTTCCATTGATGATGATAAAAAAAGCACACTGGTCCTTTGATATTGGGCTGTGGCACCAGAGTGGGTGACATGACCTTTAGCCTGGTTTGTTCCTTTTTGCACACCACACATAGGATTATTAAAATGGTAGGGAAAGCCCCCCCCCCAATTCTGTGTTGGCTGTCTCTAGCAAGCATGTCATTGCTAGCACTACTCTGGCAGCCACTGATGATGATTAAATCCTCTGCGAGCTAGCAAAAATTTAATGCAACTTGCTAGGCACATTGGACACCTTACTACTCCTTATACCACACCATGGCTGGAGGGCAATGTGTTCCAGCAAAAGAAGTGCACATCTTTATCAAATTTGGTGCATCCTGCTAGTTCAGTACACAGCCTGTGTAGATTCAATAATATTTTAATTCAAATAATGTATGATTTCCTTCCTTTTGAATCAAGGGGGTAATGTTGGCATATATAATTTTTTTTTGGGGGGGGGGTAAAAGGTAAAAAAGTTCCCTGACTCCTGCTTTAGGAGATCATGCAGGACATTCTCAGTGCCTGTCATAATCTCCCTCATGCACAGATGCACATGCAAACACATTGTTGCAGTTGTTGCACAAGGACTTACCTCACACTCTTAGGTCTCTGGCCCTGAAATTTCAGGGAACGTGAAGCTGTCATCAACCACAAGTAAATAGCCCCAGCTACCATTTTTCCGGAGCTTTTAAACTGCAACCCCCAGAATCCCCCAGCCAGCATGGCTGATAGCAGGCTGGAAGATTGGAGGAGCTGCTGTCGAGAAAAACCATGTTGTCAATTTCTTACTTTCACCCCGGTGCACAGCCGTCATTCTTTTGCCACTGTGCAGACCCAGTAAGGAGAAAATGGATCTTTTAGGATACAGAGACAAGAGTACTGTTCTGGGGTGGCCTGGCTGAGTAAAGGAAACAGCTGAATATCCCCTCCACCTTTAAAACCTGGTGATTAATTCAGAATAGAAAAGCTATCTATTATGCATTTGCTCCTCTTGCAGAAACTTTTCATTTGAACCAAAGGGATAAATAATTCTGAAGAACATTCTTGATCTCTTCATGTTCTGATTTGTAATACAACTACTCACCTGTTGTGTGCTATTTGTAATAACACACTTGTCTTGCATATCCTATGCGTAATGACAGGAGTATTGTTTTGTTTGGCGGGAACATGGCCCGTTTTATTAATATTACTATGGCAAAAGTGTGGCATAGCAATGGGAAAAGCAATTTCAAAGTTTGATCACCAGGGTGGAAAAAGGAACGAAGTGCAAGACTGAAATAAATGATTGGCAATCTCTTATTTTGTAGCAAGCACATTCTTGCTGATGTGATTGCACATTTCACTCCACTTTTTTTCTAATTAGGTAACAAAACTCCTGGATCTGAATGGTGCCGCTGCGTTTGCTCTCTAATGATCTGAAAGTAGTCTGCCTCTTGTTTCCCTTTCTCTTCCTTGCCTCTCTCCTAAACAACCAGGAAGTCCTCCAGCTTGCCTGATTCAAGAATGCCTTCACTGTGTGCAACCTGGACGTTATCCACTTCCTCCGTTTCCTCCCAGGGAAGCGTCTTAGAGAACGGCCCGAGGCAAAGCAGACCTTTGAAATCTGCCTTCGTGCCCACAGCTTTGGCCTCACCTGTTAGAAACCTCTCTGTGCCAAGCGCCTCGGGGCAAACAGCATCACAGAGGAGAGGACGTGGTGGCAGCAATCGGAAGAGTAAGTCCCAGTGAGAGAGAGCTGGACCTGTTCCCCGGTGGTAGAGAGAAGCCTTTAATTAGTACTCTGAAACTCAGGGCCGGCGCAATAAACATGAAAGCCAGGTGAAGATTCTTGAAGAGCTTTTGAGTCTGATTGCATGCTAGGTACAGCTGGGTTGGAAAGCGGCCCTGTCAAAAGCACAGATGGACTCGCTGTAGTTTGAGACCACCCCAAAACCGTGTGATGGGATCAGAGGTTCAAGTCTGTGATCTACAGATAGGTTTCTGTGAGCAGAGAACTCCAAGTTTAAAATCCGATGTGTCTCGGTGGAATTTTCAGGTTCTTTGTACCTGAAGTGAAGCAGAGACAGCTGGGATCTTTTCTAAAGAAGAAAAAAGCTTTGGCAGCAACATTACAAACGTGGTGTTACCTCATTACTTGTTATTTATCAAGGTCTCCACGGGGCAGCATTTCATCTGAAGAGATATTCCAGAGGCTCACACTGATGTAGAGGGTAATCGCACACGAATGGGTTGAGATGACAGGCGTAATTATTATGATTATTCTGAACATTATTTAAAAAGCATCACCCTGCCTAGTACTTTATGGAATTATAAAGCTGTGTGAAAAGTTGAACTGAACAGGACCAGTTTGGTTTAAATTGGCACTCTTTCTGAAATAAATGTAGAAAGATGCAAATGGGACCCCCATTCACATCCGTTTGTACTTTGGGTTGAGGGCTGCCTCATATACAGTATGTGGGGGTCAGTAGTAGCAGCAGGATCTGTGTTCCTTGGCCACTCTTAAACCCCACCCCTTTTTTAAAAAATGTAACACTCTGGATATTGTGTCATTTGGAACATTTGGGAGGATGGTAGCTGTCATGTGCAGGAGGTGTCCTTATTATGTTGGCCACCACAGCGGCCCTTCACAATGCAATGTGGGGTACCAAACTCATAGCCACATAAAAGGTATCTTGGAGGGACATGAGCATAATATGGGTCAGCCAGCATGGCTAAATGAAAGCCAGGTGACATCCAGTCCTTTCAAATCACTTCTTAAATTGGCTCGACATTCTTCCCCAAGCAATAATTCTGATCTCATCTGATGAAATCAGTGGCTGGTCCATTTCTGCTCAAGGAGAGGAAGCCAAAGAGGGTCTTGGTGGCCAGATCTTCATGCCCTCACCATGGGTACTAGCCATGGCGAGGGCATGAAGGGGCGCCATCAGGAGCAGCTACTGTGACCACTTCTGCTGCCACTCCTGCAAAATAAACCCCACAATATAAAAAAAAGAGAAGACACTACCAACAAACATTAATGATGAAATAAATGTAATGCTTATAAACTGGCAATGAAATAAATGTGATTTCTATGCTTAGATAATGAGATAAGTGGTATATTTAATAACAGAAACAAACGATGTAATGAAACCAAATTAAACGCTGTGTGCTTCCCTACTGAGCAACACAAAGGCTCATCTACAATGAGAGACAACAGGGGAAGGGGAAAGAATAGCCCACAAGGGTTATTAGAGGACTGTGAGCAAATGCCAAGGCATATATTTTGCTCTATTTCAGATGGAGCCTTAAAGCATCTAAAGCAAAGGCTATGCTGTAAAGATAAATTCCGAGACAATTTCGATGTAAGAGATGTGGCATCACATCTAGGAAGCTGCCGCATGCTCAGTCAGACCATGAGACAATTTTGATGTAAGAGATGTGGCATCACACGTATGTTAGGAAGCTGCCGCATGCTCAGTCAGACCACTCATCTGTCCCAGGACCATATTGCTGATTCTGACCAGCAGAATCCAAGAGGTTGCCCCTCAGAAGCAATTTGGTACAGGACTCGTTTCCTGCCTCCTGGCAACTGAGTACTTGACAGAATTATCAATTGCATTGACCAGTTATTACCATAACAGGTGTGTATGCATTTCCCAGGTGTCCATCCCACACTCAAGACATATCCGGTTCTGCACTCAGGATGCATGCCGAGAAACGCATCAGACAGCTGGAAAACTGTAACAACTGCTTTCATTGTGTCTCTTAAAACACGTGGCATTTCACAATAAGACTCAGGCCACTGTAACCATTGCCTGGGCTTCCGAAGCAACTTCTTTTCCTTCTTGTTGCGTTGCTTTGTCGTTATTAACAAAGCCAAAGGCAAATGTAAGCAGACTGCCTTTTGCATGTCCTGAGCAGTGTGGTTTTTGGAGAAGGAAGGGACCAGGTTTCTACTGCTCTGAGTGCAGCAAGACCTTTATTTTCATGTTAACAATAAAAAAAAAAACACATATCCTGACTACTTGAAATAATTAAAAGAGATGCCAAGGACTGAAGATGGGGAGAACATTCATATCCTGACTACCTGAAATAATTAAAAGAAATGCCAAGGACTGAAGATGGGGAGAACATTGTGCATGCAAAGCCTGCAATCTCCCCACACGCTGCAGTTCCCAGAGCAAAAGTACCAGGGATAAAGGGCAGAAAGGGAAAAGGGGGTAAACTTAAATGACTTTGGGGGGATGACTGAGGGTGAGAATTATCCTTATTAAGGATAATTCAGGATAATAAGGAAAGGAAAGGGAACAGAAGATGTGGTAGGTTGCAACCATGTCGATCTCTGAAAGTAAAGGGAAGGCATGTCCATCAAGGACAGAGGAAAACAAACTGTCACGTTTTCCTTGGTCCTGGTCCACTGACTTCAACTGCATAGCGATAATTAGGGCTGGCATCCCATATGCTCTGAACCATGCCCAGGATCATCTGTGCAGCCTATGAATTTGTCTCTGCCTGCCATTTGCAAGGGGGGGGGAATTCAATAGTCCTTTCCACAGGCAGAACATCTGATTCCTAGCCGAATCAGACATTGTTCAGAGGACACAGGGCTAGTTATACCCATGGACTAGTTTCACTCCACATTTGGGCAGCAGGACACGGCCTAAGAAATGTAACAGATCAAGGTTTCCCAAAGAGAGAGATTACACGATTCTGGGAGTGGGGTGGGTGATCCATCTAATGAATTTCACTGTGTCCAGTGGCCTAAGAAATGTAATAGATCAAGGTTCTGGGAGTGGGGTGGGAGATCCATCTAATGAATTTCACTGTGTCCAGAAGACACTGGAGCAGAAAAATGTGGTCAAATGAGCTTACAATTATGTACATCACGAAGCCCAATGCAGCATGCGCAAGGCTACCAAGCACACGCTCCCGTTCAAAACTGATCAGCCTCTGACCTCCAAGTGGTTTGGACAGTCACTTCCGTTATTATTATCCTTTACCATCAGCCATTCTGACAGCTGAGGCTTCTGGGATATTATGTCCAAAACATGCAGAGTCCCAAAGGTTGCCCACTCCTGTTGTAACCAGATAGGAGGTGAGGAACCCAGAATCTTTTGTATACAAAGTGGCTGTGTTGTATCTCCCTTGCAACTTTCTGTCACCTCTTCATATTTGGAAAGCACATGTCATGGTGCCATAAAGCCTCAAGGCTGAGATTTAGCTAAGTATTGCCGTTCAGCAATTTTCTGCCCTTTTGTTTGATAGGAGTTTCAGCCATGGGTTATCCAGAGTTTGTTATCAGCTTAACACTAATCTCTTCTTGAATTCTGTTTCCCCAGATGGAACTTTACCAAAACCTTTGCAACCTGGAACTCTTATTCCATTTGTCAACTCTCTTCGGCGAACCCCTGCCACCCAAACACGAACCCAACAGTCTCCTGTATATCAACCTATCTCCACTCTGCCTCGAGGAGGTGGAGTGACTGACATGGGAATCAGGCTGAATTCATCCTATGAATCTTCATTAGCGTTCATGCCCCGAAGTGGGAGCAGCAGGGCTCCTTCTGTGTGCAGCTCAATCGTACTGGATGCCAAAGAATTCCCAACTAAAAATGAGTTGTCTCTAAAGCCTCCTGCCTCTGCTCCACCCTCCATTCTGGTGAAACCAGATACCTCCAAAAACAGCACCGAGAAGGTAACAGTGTGATCTATTGTCCTAGTTTCAAGTAGAGCTTGGAAAGGTAGTTTGAAGAAGAACACAAGTCATGACATGCTGATGTCATCCATGGCAGAGCAGTGGCAGGCTCTGATGGCCTGGCAGCCAGAGCATTGGTAATTCTGGATGGCTTCAGGATGTCATCCTATTCATTCATTTTAAAATTGACTTTCCAGGCTTTGGTTCAACCTGGGAAGTCTACAAGCATTTCTGTTCACATCCCATTTCTCCAGTTAGAACCATGTAAGTCAGGGTTCCCAACGATGCTTACATGCAAGCAAACGCTCTATAGAAGTTTCCTACAAAGCTCTCAACTCAGTGGAGAGGTTAAGGACAATGGGGCCAGGTGCTGGTTACCACAACGCTGAACGACGATAATGTTCCCCGGGGTAGAACTCCAGTGGGTTGATGATCTGAAATGGGAACTACCTGATGTTTCCATGACTGTTCAGGGCAGAAGCAGGTGGAAGAGCAGCTTCACCGTTTGAAGCAACATTCCTTTCAGAGTTAAAGTATATGTTTTTCCAAGCATGCAGCATCGTAGGTCACTCATGCTTAGAAACACAAGCTGTCTTCTGTTTAGTTAATGATCATTGGGAGGTAAGCATGGGATTCATTTGCAAGTTGATTGGGCAGAACAAAGACTTTGAAAATATGCCTTTGGAAGGATAATGCTTTATCACTTTCTGATTGAGAAGCTGCTACCCATAGACAGTATCTGGCACAACAAAAATGCTTATGCCATTTGTGGATACATTCTAGAATGGAGTGGAATACTGGGGACAGGTAGTTAGAAAAGCTTTCCAACTACTGTCTGAACATTTGAAAATAAAATATGAGTTGACTTAAATGGCCCTCTCAAATAAACTGAAAATGGACAGGGTATTTTTTCAGACTGTGGGAAGACCAAAGATGACTTGAATGCTGGCTTTATAATATACTCAAATGACAGATATTACAGACATGAGGGCTTCATACAAAGCAAACCTAATTTAAAGCATATAACCAGGATTATTATTCCTAAAAAAATCTCTGTCATGCTGAACAGTTTGCCCTTTTCCACAGGAGGGAAGGGCAATGTGCCTTATCTTATAAGACATTACTAGAGAACGTCTCACACTGAAATAACTTTTGTCAGCTCTCCTTTGCCTCTTTTCAGAGAAAACCTAACTCCTGGTTTCTGTTCCATTTCAGCAAGTGAAAACAGTGAGATTCCAGAACTACAGCCCACCCCCCTCCAAGAGACATGACTCTCTATCTTCACTCATTAGTCAACCTGAGCAAGGAGGGGTTACAGAAGCAATGCAGCCCGAAATGTCAGCCTTCTCCTCCCACCTCATTATCTCAAGTCCAGTTCATCAAAAAAGGATGCCACATTCCAAAACATCATCACTGGACCTCCCTGGCCAGGTGGGTCACATGACCTTTCCCACCAAAAAGAAGTATAATAGCTGAGTTCTTGTTAAATTGCATCACTTTGGACATTCGGTGTCATTGTTTCTTTTTAAGGAAACAACAACAGGACAACATAGATCTCAGGTACATGCTGCCAATTTTATTTTATTTTATTTTTTAAGTTTAAATCTCACAGAGAAGCTAGGCCTCTTTGAGGACTCTGCACTACACTGATTATTACTGGACACCACATATCCCATGTTTTCTGGAAAGGTCTTATTTTGTGTGGCTTAGGTCTACAACTTGAACTGCAAATGTGGGCCGTGGACAAGTATTGCTCTCAATTGCAAAGACTACCCACAGTGGCAGTGTAACGTTAATCCCCTTGCAGAGGAAGAGAAGATAAGAGATTGTTAGTATGGAGAGCTATTCAGATGCCAGATTGCTATAAGCAAGTTTCATTGCTATACAAAACAGCTAGAACTGGGAAACACATGTCAGAAAAAGGCAGGATTCTTTGGTCTTCCTTGTAATGCTTAGTTTTATATTGGACGAAAGAGCCCATTTTCTTTCCCACTTCCCTGGTTGAGTTATCAAATGGCCCTTAACTTCTCCATTTGCATTTTAAAGACTTTGGAATTAATGTATAATTGAGATGGGAATCCATATTTTGGTAATACTAAATGTTTCCCAGCTTTAAAATGATCCATCCATCGAAACTATGAAATGTAACTGCGTTCTCTCCCCAGCTATTTATTTTTTATCCTCTTTCTTGTCCACTGGCTGAGTGAAATAATTAGAGACGGTGGACCAAGCATTTCTAGCAACCCTGCAATTTCATCACTGGAGTCCAGCTCAGCAGTAGCAGCAGAAGGCACAAGCTGGCACAGTAAGACAGGATTCTGTACTTGGGCAAGTGTCACCCTTACGTAAGTGGAGATTCTCATTACAGTACAACTGGCCAGGTTATGTAAGCTCCTTACAACGATGGTTGTTGCATGAGCAATCTGCTCCGAACTAGATTCTGGTATATTTCAGTAAACAATGACTGTACTTGAGGACAGGACAAACTCCTCATCACTCCTGCCAACCCAGCCCACTAAAAAACCCACACACACATTGGTGACATACTTGAACAAGTTCACAGTCTAGGGCGGCCATTCTCAATGGGGGCCATATGGCCTCCTAGGGGGCCTGGCACATTTGAAAGGGGCCAAAGACTGGAAATAATGCTTCACACACCAGCTTATAAGGTTCACTATGCGACTTACAGAATTCTGATTTGTCTTATATTTCTTTCATATTGTGTTTATGGCTGTGGCCAAAAGAAAGTTGAGAATGGCTGGCTAGAGGCACAATCCTATAAACTCAGCAGCAAGTTTCATTGACTTCCTTGAGATGTTTTTTTGTGGAAACATGTACAAGATAGAGTTCTGCTAGAATCATAGAATCATAGAACAGTGAAGTTGGAAGTGGCCTATGAGGCCATCAAGTCCAACCCCCTGCTCGATGCAGGAACACACTTCAAAGATTATGTGCTCACCCCCTCTCGAGATAATTGGTTCCATTTGCTATACTACTCTAACAATTAGGATGTTTTGCCTGATATACATGGTGCCAGGTAACGACCGGTCAGTCTCACCTGAAGAAGGTCCTCCTTTTCTTCCACCTTGTCTGCTTCTCTTCAGCAGGCCTCATCGTTTGCTTACACAACTGGCCCTCTCATTCTCTCTGGTTACTTCACCTCAGCAATAAGCAAAATCAGAACCCTATATCATATCAGCCCAGCTGTGACTGAATAATTCTCTAGGATAGAACTGTGTTTAGTTTTGTTCCCATAGCTGGTTCAAAACCCATGCATTCCAGCCAAAGTGTGGGGGGGGGGAGCATGAGATTTTGCCATGACTCCTGCCGTGTCATTTCAGTGTGTACATTTGGAGCCAGCGTTCTTGGATGATAGCACAAAGTGGAACTGACACTGTGGATGTTTGCTACTAGCATACAGCATTTGGACAGCAGCTGAGGAAAGCATTTTCTTTTGGAACCAAGTGCAAACAGTGTATAAAACAGTCTACTGGCTTGCACCAACCACAGTTTCATTGTAATTTCTAGCAAAATGTGATTTTTGTCCACCTGAGTCACCTGCCTTTGGGGTCCACATCAATCCCTATACGATAGTCAAAGCCAACTCTTCCCTGGCCTTTGCAGAATTGTGCTCTCTCACCATTGTGTTCTGAAGTCAGGCATACAGAAATCTCTCCTGTGCATATGGAGCAGGCGGGCATAGGCAAAGTATGGAATTCTTCAAAGGCAGAACAAAAGAATAAGTTGAACTGATTATTCTTATTAACTGGCATCAGATTCAAGGGCATTTCCTGCATGATTTCTGTATGCAGGTGTGTTTTGTAGGGCAGGGCAGTAATGTACACATATTTAGAGAATCAGATGTAGAAAATGGCCCATGGCATTCTTTGCTATGTAAAGAACTATACAGGTGGCATCAGAGATGCCAGAAACAAAGGGAGACGATGACAAGCATATTTGACACAGCTGACTCTGGACAATTTGCTACCTGAAGAGTAACCCTAATGTCCCATCTTCTCCTCTAAGGACAATGTTCTGGATGTCCTGCTGCATTATTCAGGTACCAAGTCCTTCCGTCCTATATCCTCCCTGCCTTCCCCACCATGGCACTGTCTGAAGCAACGTGTTACTTGATAGTAGTAAACTCATCTAAATAGTAGAGGCAGGCCTCACATTTTAACATTCCAAAGAGTTATGGTGGCATATGTGAGATTATGCTGTCTTGTCTTCAAAACATTTTCAAGTAGTTTAAGTTACAAGAGACATCCATGGGCATCCAGCAAGATTGGGCCATGTCCAAATCTGTGATCCTCTTTGGATCTGAAAGGCAGCATAAATAGATTATAACGTAACATTATACAGTATTGAATTATAATATAGGAGGAAAGGCATTAACCCTCTCTTCTTGGAATTTCCCTGACACCAAACACTCCCACTTCTCCTTTTAGCCCTCTTAGGGAATATTTTGACATAATATTTTTCCTCATCATGGTCTGGATCTACTTTGTCTGATTTTTTCCTTCTTTGCACATGATTATTGCTACTCTGACATATATTTTTCATCAAAACTGGCATGCCAAAACTGGCATGCTACCAATTGGATCTAACTTAATGCTCACATTTTAGGCTCTTCCCCTACTGCAGCCCTTTCAGCTCCAGACAGTTTCCTGGTCATGGAGAACAGTATTTAGAGGTTTTCAGGATTTGGGGTCAAGGGAGGAGCCTACAGGAAAGAGGGATTGTTACAGTGTTCCTATGCGTACCTGATCCCATGGGTGCAATGACAGCATTGACCAGTGACGTAACCGTAGAATGCTTATAATTGTGTCCAAGAACCGCTATAGAAGCAAGGACGATCCCGGATAAGCGAGGCGTCTAATCAGCAGGCTGATCCCATGACACAGCAAGAGCACGGCACTCAATGCAAACAGCAAGTGCAGGGGAAAGCAGGGACCAGGATCAGGACCACAGTGAGAGGAAAGAATGTGAAAAACCAATTGGTCCACCAGGGTCCCAATCCACATGGGAGCAACACTTTACTTGCTATTTACTCTAGTCATTTCTCCTCCCCAGCCCCCCCCAAAAAAACCTTAGCAATTGTGCAACATGTATCATAATTAGTTTGGCCCAATTGTCAATAAATAATTTGGAAGCAGACTATATCTAATCTGTATCAAACATACCCGTTTTTTAAAAAATATATATATATAAAGAACAAAAAGGCACTCTTGCTGGAGCCAGAAGATAATCAGGCAGAAAGAAGCAGGCTCTTTCAAGGCCCACATGACTATCTTATCACATAACTGAGCTCTAATCAGAAACTGGATCTAGGAAGGAGGGAGATAAACTCTTGGGGTCTTGCCTAGTTATACCTTACACGTATACGTGTGCATACACATTCATGAGACTTACTGAAGCCCAAAATATCTCTTGCTCAACCATAACATATGCAGATGGAGTCACTGCCAAATGCTGTGTTCGTAGCAAATAGAAGTAGATAGATAGATGCCAGCTGGGAAAACAGACAAAACCGACACAGAAAAGCAGGGGTGGCATTTGAGAGGCTTTGAAACAACTCCTTTCATCCATCTGTATTAACACGCTTGTTTTTCAAAGCCAGCGCTGGCTGGCGGTCTAGAGGAGAAAGGGGTTCATGGAGCCAAAGGGTCATCTTTTTTCTTTTTTCTACTGTTGCCGTGGCCGCCTCCGATAGGGGCCCACGGACCAAAGGCCTGACAGCCCTGATGCAAAACCGTGACACCCTTATGATGGCTTGCCTTTAAGCAGCTAGAGCTTTGGCACAGGGAAAGCTTTTTACCCTACACGATGGTACTGTAATTATGCGCCAGGAGGAGTCATCTGAAAACAAAGAAAAACCTTTCCAGTCCAACGGAAGCAGCTGTTCCATGCTGGGCTGTGACAGACAGAAAAGCAAAAAACGCCTTGCCGTCCTAAACCAAGCATTCCCCTGAGGGGAGAGACAAGTAGATTAAGCTGAAGCATGGAGAAACCATCTAGAATGGTTTAACGGCTATTTATTTTGCCATTTGAACAGCACTGGGCATTTGCACAGCACTTTATACTTCTTATCTCCAGTCTTAGAAAACTTATTTCCTGGCTGGCAGCTCCCAGAATCCTTCATGTGCTCATACTGGCTGGGGTATTCAATGTATCATAATAATAACAAAAGCTTTTTTAGGTTCTGCTGTTATCTCGCCTTCACCAGCAGTGAGGTAGCTAAGAATTCTTTCCATTTTGTAGAAGACCTGACAGGAGCTTATCTTAAGGGCATCCCCTTCCATGCAAAATAGCTTAGAATGGTGGTTCCTAGCCTTGGGTCTCCAGATGTTCTTGGACCAAAACTCCCAGAAGGCTTTATCACCAGCTGTTCTGGCCAGGATTTCTGGGAGTTGTAGTATCTGTTGTGTAATACCAGTCAATCTGTTTATGACCTTGATTGACTGTGCCAGGTAATTTTGAACAACAACAACAACATCTCATGGGAACCAAGGGCTCCAAGAGTACCTACAGTTTTGAGGATGGGCATCTCAGGTAGATCTGGCTATTCTCCAACACTCTTTCACCTGGCCATATGCTGTCAGCAACCAAAGTGGGAGTGGCGTTACAGAGCAGTAGATGGATCAACATTTCTACCCTTTCAGAAATTGCACTACATAGACCAAGATTCAATAGCTAGCAAGATCACTGCTGCCATTTTGGAAGGGGGAACTGCTCCTCCTCCAGCATCACCCCCCATGCAATCCAAATCTGCTTCTGGGGACTGGACAGCTGTCCAGAGCAGATTTGCAGGTGACATGGAGCGGGGGGGGGGAGGAGAGAAATTGGTTTAGGGTATAGCTATGCGGTGTGAGGATTATGATGATCACTATCCCTAATGTGAGAGTGTGAGAGGGAGGAAGATGCTATTTGTCCACATTACATGTATTTATTGGATTTATACCCTGCACCATCTGGCAGCCAGGCCACTCTGGGCAGCTAACAATAAGACAAACAACACAATATCAAAACATGATAAAAAAATAAAATAATACAAACATTCAACAGATACAATAATTAGTAGGATAAGTTAAAACAGATGGCTATGAAGATGATAAAAAGGATGATGAAAGGATGGCAAACAAGATGATGGAAGGGAAGCTGAGATATCAACAACTTAATGTTCGAGGAAAGCCTGGAGGAAGGGCCAAGCAGAACATTGGTCTTTTATTGGTGGATTACAAATCGCAACCTGGCCCTGCCTGCTATACGTCTTGGTTGAATATGTCAGAATCAGCAGGTGACGCTTTTCAAGGCCTAGGCATCAACATCATCTCCTGCTAAATGCTGCAGCACAAGCCAGGGTGACAGGGTTGGTTATGTTAAATTGTTCAAAAAGGGTCAACCCTGCATAGGCACCAGCAGCACTGCCATACTTTTCTTATTTGAAGTATCCTGTAAGTGGAGGAGGAGGATCTAATTCTTGATCCACACAGATCAACAACTAGAAGTAGATATCGGATAAACTGAAGTAAATTCCAGTCCTGAGAAGAGCAGAAAAGTCATGATGTAGAGTATAAGGGTTTGTGGTCGTGTCCACAGAAGCCCAGGACAACCTCAAGGTAAGTAGTGCACCTGTGACATAACCACTGACGGTAGATGAACCAGCATCAGAGGAAGAAGGGGGAAAGGAAGACTGTACACATGAAGGATGCTGGAAATTCCCACAACAAGGGGCTTTCTTTCTGTTGTGTTTTGTTTCATTTAGTTTCACTTCATTTTTCAAGGGCCAGACTTTCTATGCTTCAGAATAAACCAGGAGAAGGAGGCAAGAATTGGTACCTTAATAAACAGAAAGACATGGTGAGCTTTTTGGGGCCGGGGGGGGGGATCATGCTTATCACTTAATCAGAAGAGCGCAACTGCCTCAAATGGTATTGGGGGAGGGCAAGAACAGCTTCCCAGATGTTCCTTCTAGATTCTACGTCTGTTCCCCTCAGCCACACGACTTGTCCTTGGGTCCCTTTAACTACCATGATGGTTTCAGGTGTATTGAAGGACGCTCTTCCATAACCTGTATTGAATCTGCTAGTATAGCCAGCACCTGTGCATGGAATGGGGAGGGGGCACGATCTTGCTCTTTTGCCTCAGGCAGCAAAACATCTTAGGTTGGACTTCAATCTTACCTTCAGAAAGTCTAGGAAAATCATTGTGCCTGTTGCACCAGCTATGGCAGAACAAGAGTAGACTCTTGCGGAGTGTGGGCGGCATATAAGCCGAATGGATAAATAAGAGTAACTGACCATACTGCCAAATTCACAGCTCAGTCAGCATCTTTTTTCAAAACTAAGTGCTGCTTCTAGAGTAATGGAAAAAACTAGCAATATATAAGGAAGATGACAAGGGGAAAACAGCTTATAAAAGCTTCTAACCATTGTGAGCGGAACTGTGTGGATCACACAACCAAACAACTGCCCCCAATGTCTTCAGAAAAACCAGGCCGATAAGGATATTAGAAATCACACCTAGAGCAAGATGTTAATTCTAAAGGGTTTAAATGAGATAACTAAATAGAAATATGCATTAAGCTCCTGCTATGTGCAGAACTTAAGCAGCCTTGATGAAGGATTTCAAAGAAGCCCCTGAGGAACCTGGCTTTCAGAAGTGTGGAGAGACTTTTGAGCTCCCAAGGACAGCTATAAAGGTTGCAGGGGACCAAAGCTCCTAAAGTAAAGATCAAAATACAAAACAAAGCATATCAAGGAGAAACAACAACACTTCCCCCCCCCCACAAGCATACTTTACAATCACCAATTTCATGTTATGTGTTTTTTTCTGTCCCATGGGTGTGCTAATTGCTACGTAGCTATTGGGCCAAATATTTAGACTTCAAGCAGGGATGAGCAAGATGTGGCCTTACAGATGTTGCTGGAATCAGCTCCTGTTATTCCTTATTATTTGCTAATTTGGCAAGGCAAGAACTACTGCAAATTAAATCCAAGAACAGCCAGACAGCCACATATTCCCTGCCCCTGCTGTAATTGACCAGGTAGGTGGGATATAAATAAACCAACCAACCAACCAACCTGCCAAAGTTCATCCTTGCAGAGATAATTCACCGGGGTCTCTTCTAGATGGAGCATTTGTCCCCAAATCTCCACCATTCTTACCAGATTTTCCTCTGACATCCAAATGATGTTCTCTGACCTCACTTTGCACTAGTTTTTACCTGAGTTCCCAAGGCTTTTTCACCCTTCCAAAGCCCTTGGTTTGTTTTTATTTTATTTCATTTTATTGTTCTACTTTGCACTGGGGCAAAGCATAGCGCTAAAGCGCTTCTTAAGGATTTCAGCATTAATGTCCAGTGAGCTAAAGATGCAACAGCCAACGCCATGGAGGGAAGCACATAGGAGCTGTACAGAATAACAGTGGCATTGTTTTTTTTAACACAAGCAAGTTGCAAGTTCAGCAGATGTAAAATGCTGAACCAGAGAAACTGTTAAGTATTTGATGATCCACCTTCATGGCATGACTCATGAATTCCATGAATTTCCAAGTGACAGGAGCCAAACACGGAGGTATCCCA